AGATGTGTATAAGAGAATGGTGTACATGTGTGTGTATACATGTACTGTGTTTCATGTTTTTTTCTAGTTAAGTTTTCATTTTATTTGCATGAATGATGCATGCCTTGAGTGCCGCAGTTGTAAATGTGTCTGTACAGAGTCAATAAATTATTATTATTCTTATTATTATTAAAATTATTATTATTAATATTATTATTATTATTATTATTATCATCATCAATGAGTGAATGTTTGTGCCCACAAAAATTTAAATTACCATAACTATATGTTGTGTTGTTGTATTGCTGTTTCTTAAGGTAGGGCAAACATCATTCCAACACAGAAACACATACTAAATGGATACAACAGTGAATTAATCTAATTTATGTTTAAAGTTAAATTGCTAATTGAATTTTTTTTTTTTTTTTTTTTTTTGGTACTTGATCATTTCTCATTTTTAATTTAATTTTTTCATTTATGTATTTTTTTATTGTATTTTCTGAACAAAATATTACACTTGGTACTGCAAGTGCATTTCAGAAGAATAAACACACACTACTCACTTCAATTTCACTGCTGACAGTTTTATATGCAGAGGTGAGAGGTCGAATAGGTGTTTTTGGTGTTGGGGAGTCCAAGTGAAGGGTTGATGATGATTGGTTACGGTTTGAATGGCAACTAGTTCCATCAATCACACTCTGTTGGAAATTAGATTGCAAATCATCAAAATAATTTTGTGTAGTAAAGGATACAAATGTTCTTTACAACAACTATGTACATTGAATAATGAACCTCAAGATTTCACAAACTAACAACAAATTACTTTGTGCCAGTGGATAGTGTGAACGCTGTAATAGTAGATTGAGTTTATTTGCATAAATTCAACTTATGTAGCATGAGATTGAAAGGCAAACATTACAAGTACCCAGCTACAACTTTGCTCAATTCTTTTACATAGAATTTGAACGTCTCATTAGCATCTAATTACAATATACATGCTTTTTTGAAAAAAAAAGGAGATGAATGCGTAACACATATGCTTGCATGCGGGTCATGGGCTGCATCACCTAATCTTGTGCATGTTTCATCCCAACTTTTTCTCATTTCAGCATCTCATGCTTCATTCATTTACCATAGTATCATACAGTTATAAGGCGGCTCTCGAAGCACAAGTACTTCCATGATTTATAGCCTAGTCATCTCTAAGTCAACCTCACCCGTTGCATGCTCATCATGCTTGGTCCTTCCTGGAACATACTAGAAGTTACAACTAATGAGGCTCTGACTCTGGAGGAGTAGGGACTCCATAAAAAGTATCTGGCACATGGCCCCCCGGGGTGTGGACACGCCCTGGCCTTATACTAATCCCTACACCAGCTATGGTCAAATAGCACTTGCTGCCTTGCAGGTCAGATTGCAGTTGCAAGACAAAGGCTATGGGACCATCCCAGACAGAAAAGGATAGCAGGAGGATGAGCGACCTCTGTTATACTATAGCTAACCTGTTGCCTTGCAGGTTGTCATTGGATTGACAAAGACTATGAAACCACATCCAGACTTAACAGGCATAGCTGCGGACGTAAGAGGGCGTTCTTCTCCCTCATAGAGGATTTCGTTTGGCCAGACGTTGCGATCTACTTTACTACTGGTCGTCACACGTTGTGCTCCATCGGATATGTCGATTTAGAGGGTGGATAGCTGATGCGCAACAGCTCTTTCACCAAAACATGCGCATGCATGGTGGGAAGTCCTATGGCGATGAAGCAAATGTGACGGTGGCAGGTTTGAGAAACCAGGAGCCATTAGCTGGAGCTCTGCACAGCTAATGCGGTCTAAATGTGATTGTCGGAGAGATACTGAAATGGGATGACAGTTCTTTAAGGCAGCTGTTTAGATGACCAAGCAGCCCTATTAGGGAAGCACTTGCCCTGTACAAGGACGCCCCTAGAAAAGGTGGGGTAAAGAAAGCTCATCCCATTAACTCCTGGCTGGCCAGCCGCGGTCAGCGGGTCTCCCTTTTAGCGGTAAGAAAAAGAAATGCAATATGATGACAGCCACATGGAATATTAGAACAATACTTGATAAAAACGACGTAAACAGACCTCAAAGTCAAACAGCACTAGTTGCAAAAGAAATACACAGTTCTAACATAGATGTTGCTTGGAGAATGGACAACTCAGGCACAGAACTAAGGCTTGCCATTACCAATACATTTTTCATGGGCCCAGACAGATGGTTCTACACCTGGAAACATCCACGGTCCAAACATCCACACCTAGTAGACTACATTATCACAAGACGAAAGGAGCTAGAAAAAAATATATGCTTCAAAGCATGTCTGGCAGCAGACACTGTATTTAACCAAAAGCTGCTCAGCAGAGCAAGAAGCAAGCTACAGCATAGACTACGCAGAATAAAGGATGACTGGTGGAAAAACCCAACCAACCCACTCATAAGCAACAATGGAACAGATGATTACCGAGAGTCAGCAAATCCTCATTAGATGGAAGGAACACTTTAATAATAATAGTGTAGTTTTATATAGCGCACATATCTATCCAATGTAAGATGCTCAGGGTGCTTGAAATGTGGACTAGGAAATCGATCAATGACTTTCTTCGCCCCTAAGGGTCCCTTCGTGTCTGTGCTACCCGGTAACCCGGTACCAGCAACTCTTGTTGTCCACTACTTTAATGAGCTACTGAATTGTGAATCAACAGTACATAGGGATGCACTCTTAGACATTAAGCAGTTTCCAATTAGAGAAGAAATTGATCAATTACCAACAATTGATGAATTGGAAAATGCGATCAACAAATCCAAATCAGGAAAAGCTCCTGGTGTTGATGGCATACCTGCAGAGGTGTTAAGCATGGAGGTCGAGTATTGAAAGAAAAACTTCTTAATCTTATTCATACATGCTGGGTGCAGAGGAAGCTGCCACAGGACTTCAAGGATGCCATTCTCATTCCCATCTTCAAGAACAATGGTGACCGTAGAGTCTGCGGGAATTATAGAGGCATCTCACTTCTGTCTATCGCTCGCAAAATCTTGGCTAAAATCATTCAGGTTCGGTTAGCAAAGCTTGCAGAGGACATTTTAACGGACTCGCAATGCGGATTCAGAGGCGGTCGTTCAACAATCAACATGATTTTCAGCATAACACAAATCCTGGGGAAAGCCTTAGAAAAGGCTTTCGACAAGGTTGACAGGGACACTCTGTGGAAAGTCCTAAGACTGTTTTGCTGCCCAAACATACTGCTTGACCTTATTCGTGAATTTCATGATGGAATGAAAGGCATGGTCTCATTTGGTAATCAACAATCAGGCAAGTTTGAAATAAAACATGGCACAAAGCAGGGCTGTTTCTTAGCACCGAATCTCTTTACTCTATTTCTAACTGTGTTAATGTTCAAGTTCCACAGCAAAATGAGCAAGGGGATCTCCATACGTACACGTCATGATGGGAAGCTTTTTAACCTTGCTCGGTTCAAGGCAAATACTAAAACCACAACACAGTTCATTACAGAACTCCTCTTCGCAGACGACACAGCACTTATCTCACACAGTGTGAGAGACATTCAGAATATTGTGAGCCATTTCGCCAAAATAGCAAAAGATTTGGGTTTAAATATCAACATCGGGAAAACAGAGGTGTTATTTCAACCAGCTCCAGGAAATCATGATCTCCCAGATCCAGAAATCCAGATCGAGGGTGCAACACTGGAAGTAGTGAGGAGCTTGGAAGCACAGTTTCAGACAACAGCAGGATTGACAAAAAAGTACAAAACCGTAATCGGAATGCTTGCTCATCCTTTGGCAAGTTAGAAAAACGTGTATGGTCACAACGTGGGATTCAACTTTCAACAAATTGAAAAGTATATCAAGCAGCAGTTCTCCCTGCTTTGTTATACTCTGCAAAACATACACATTATACCGGGAGCACATAAGGAAGTTGTCAACAGTTCAACAAAGACACCAGTGGAAAATTATGGGTATCACCTGGCAGGATCACATCACAAATGTTGACATACCTAAAAGAGCTAGTATGTGCAGTGTGGAGGCGGCTTTGGCTTTGGACATGTGTCCGGGATGCCAGTGAATAGGATTCCCCGTATCATCATGTATGGCCAGTTAGAACAGGGTGCCAGACACAGAGGAGGTCAAAAGCTCTGTTTTAAAGATGTAATCAAACAACATCTGAAAGCAACACATATTGACGTTGGCAGCTGGGAAGAGTTAGCAGCAGAACGCCCAGCATTGAGAAAGGCTATCAAGCAAGGAGTAGACATTATAGAAGACAAAAAACGGGAGGATACAACATTTCGGATTCTCATGAAAAGCAATACAACCAACCTAAATCATCCTTGCATACATTGCACATGATTCTTCCGAAACAGAATTTAAGCAGGTATAACGCCTGAATGTTCGTCTGAAACACCCAGAACTACCCACCTAGTCATCATCGGATACGATGGACAGCAAGAAGAAGACATGCTGTTTATTGTTTTAACACGTTCGCTACCAAGGACGAGTTCACGTTCGACAGGGTTCACTCAGGGCGCCAATGTCGAGAGTCCACACCTGTCCAACATACCACTATTGAATTGCATGTAAACTCGCTGACAGTGGTCGCCAGAAAACAAACTGTCTCCCTGGATGTTTAGAAAAGGACACGGAAGTAACATCTAAAATAACTACCATATGATTGTTCGTGTGTCACTACAGTTCTTGGAAATGATTTTCATTATGGTGGCCCCCTGTATGGCTTGGTGTATGGGATGGAAGAAGAAAAAGGCTTCGCAGTCAACATGTTAAAATGTTAATCACAGTAAGAATACATTAATAGAAAACCAAAAATAACTAACCTTGTCTATACATGGAGTCACACCAACCATAATACTATTTCCAAATATCTTGCCATTCTTACTTAATGCCTTTTTTGCCTGAATCTTAGATGTGTATTGTATATGAAGCCAGTTACCATTACTAGCCACCTACAGTTAATTACAAGAATATGAATATAGAATAAATAAGCCTACATAGTTCAAAATGTTTTTCTGTGAAATAATGTAAAAATAGACTCAATATTTTATAGCACAATATTGGTCCCAAGTCAATATCTTCACAACCAATGTAAAATACTGATCACTTTCTGTCTTTATATTTGTTACCTGATTACCTATTCAGAGATCCGAAGTCCCCCACAAGCTGCAGGAGTCTCCCGAAAATCAGGACGGCCTCCCACACTCGGAAAATAAATTGTGGCGCAATTAGGTTATGAGAGGTCCTGGTTCAAGTGTACCATTTTGCCTTTGACGCATTGAAACAATTAAATAAAATAATGGGGTTTTTTTTTTTGTACAGCATTTTGGTTTGAAAACTTAACACATAATGATTTGTTGAATTGTTATGATTGTCTGTAGGAAATGTTTTCCCTTCTTATGAAAACTTCCTTTAATTACTTTTTTTTAACTTCAACAGTTGCCCACAAGAGTAGTTTGGTTATGACTATTTACACCATCTTATTTTATATTTATGAATTACATATAACAACTAAAGAACCTGATATTGGTAAAATATACATATTTGGTTTTGGCAACATGCAATTTATAATTGCAATTTTAAATTCACCATCATAATATCACCTTTTGTCTATAATAGAAGATTCCACAAAAGTATGAACAATTATTTACCTTACCTATCAATACACCTGCATCACTATCATACATACACCAATGGGAGCAGTATATGCTGATGTGGTGTATTTATGAATAGTACACGTATGCTAAGCATATGTGTACTACTGACACTATATAAGCTGACGTGGCGTATTTGTTAAGTTTTTAGTTCTTTTAGTTTACTTACTGAAGATGATTGTGTGATACAGCAGAAACATGATTATTAAATCTTGGTTTATTGCTTTTAAAAATTTGTATTGTTTATTATATCCTGTTGATCACTCAGATCTATTATTCATGATTTGATTTACAACAGTTATGTTAGTAAATATGTATGTAAAAGACTGGAAAAACTTCTAAAAGAGTGCAGAAAATCTGAAGCTGACGTCATTTTCCTGAACAATTTTAAATTTAAAAAAAACTTACCACATGCTTGACTATATTTCCATACTGAGAAAATTGTTGAATAATAAATGATACAGCAGCTGATGGCACACTGCAAGAAAATAGGCAAGTAGTAGGGGTAATTTGTGGGTTTGCTTTTTTACTATTTACATCATTGTCATTGACACTCATAATTTTTGACAATGCAGATTGTTATTGTCAGCAAATGGTTGTTGTATTTCTTATGAGTTATGAGCTAGTCTCATTGGTCGGAGGGGGAGGGTGGGGGTGGCAGAGATTAAAATTTCCAGAATGGGCCAACTACCAGAAGGGTCCACAACCACCTCACTGGTACTGGTATGGGCATTTATAATGCGCCTTTTGCATGTGGTTGCAAAAGGCACGCCAAGTCTCATTGTTCTGGTAAAGACTCAGGCAGCATGTACTACAGCCTTAAACACAAAAAATTCACGAGCACCACAACTATATTGTCAAAACAATTAACAACAAAAGCACAAAACATACAACAGACACAACACTCAGAAAAATAATAATTGGAGGTACTAGGCAAACAAGTCAATCTTGACTGACTTTCATGGTTTATCCAGATGCAGTAGTAGATATTCATGAAATAGATAAAAACATCCCAGGAACAGAGTGCAGTTAACTACACATAAACTAAACTAATCTAGAATTATAAACTACCCCTCCTTAGACAGCATTCCAGTTATTCCGAGTCTAGTTTCAAGGCTATTAATGAAATGGCATCCCGCCTCCCTTCCACCCTTAGTTACGTGCCTGATTATGTGACTGATCCTTTCAATGGTTCTACTACAAGATACCTCAATGTTCGCCTGTACTATGCAATGTTTTTGTTAAAACTATACTTATACAGGGTGACTCTTCCAGCATATCCTCAACCCCACTCCCGTGCCACCACTGGATATCCTTTGAGTATGTTACTGTGAGTGTCAGCTTTGTCTCCTCTATCCAAGCTCCATTAGGCTAGCACCATTTTTACTGCCACTCATGGTCTAAAGGTTAGATGACTAGGATCAATGATTTTGCATACTAAGACATTTTTTACTTACCCAAATACAGTTACCCAGGTGTCATTCAGTTGTTCATCTGATGATATTGCATCACTGATAATATAAAAAAGTAGCACATTAACACATTAAAGCCTAATTATTTTCCCTTCATATTAAAAACCCTGGGGGGAAATACAGTATTAGTTCATAAAGAGGATTTATGGTAACAATTCACATGTAAATGTATCAGTGAGAGGGTACAGTATTTAGTTGCTTTGTTTGAAGACAGATGCTAATTATACAGTTGATCAAACACTACTTCTATGTGCGTCACTCCTGGCGTCACTGTTATTACAGTATTATTGTTTTGAAGATGGATTATAATTGTAACTTGTACAGTAGATTGGGCACAATAATTATGGTAGAAAGTTGCATTTTGTACCCACAGACTCCTATCTGTGCTTCAATGCTGTTATTATTTTGAAGATGGATGATAATTATAACTTGTGCAATATATCAGATATGATTGCTATGGCAGGAATTTGCATTTTTTTACCCACAAATTCCTATTTGTACTTCACTGTTATTACGGATGGATATTATTTAGCATAAAGTTGAATTCTTTACGCCAGTCCCATTAGAACATAGGTGAAATGTATATAACAGAAAATTTTATACATGCATATTAAAGGGGTTTTTTTTCTTCCTGGAATTCAAAATTGTTTCCCTATTTCTTACTTGCGAGAAATAATGCATTACTACGAAGACTTATGAAGAACAGTTCAATAAACATTGCACAGCTATAAAAAAACTTTGGAAGTTTAATAAAAACTCTTCAGATTAATAACTTGTAAGGTGCTTACCCTTGAGTATAAAATGGATCGATTTGAGCCGGGGATGCTGGGGTGGGTGACTGGAAATTGAAGAAACTTCCCCCTCCTCCATGGGACTGCAGCTGACTGGCAGAACCTGTTATAAATATATTTTGAATGTGCATAAACAATGAATGGCATAAAAATTATTGTAGAATTTATCAAATCAATTTTATAACAGTACTGATAATATATAATAATAATATATATGTGGAAGGTGGTTGGCGCATCGATTGTGGCTTGGACTCCCAACCTTGAGGTCAGGGGTTCGAAACTCTCGCTGTGCAAGTTGCTTGTGTCCTTGGGCAAGGCACTTTATCTATGTTTGTCTCTCTCTACCCGGGAGTATAAATGGGTACCTGGTAGGATGTTGTGGCATTGAATGTTCATAGTTTCGTGCGCTAAAGAAGTAGCGAACGACTAAGGATACTCCCCAGGGAGCAGAGGAAGTTGCACTTTGTGCTGGTTTGCCATTGTACGTTATCCAGTGACCAGCGGTAATAACGCTCGTGCCTTTGATCAATCTTGGAATTGGCGCCTTATAAATGTTTGAGTATTATATAATCAGGCGATACTGATTTTATAACCTGGAGAATACCTACCCAATGAATTCTGCATTGGAGTTCTTGAAAAAGAGGCTGAAAGGGGTGTAGGACATGGCCCTCTTAAATCAGTCTAAGGAAAATAATATAGAAATACTTTTATAGTAGTAAAAATTGAGGAGAGTAAGTTCTTCAGCTGTAAATTTTACATTAAAAATATAAAAATGTTGTATGAAATTAATTAGAATATATGTTTTTAATTCATTTATCAGAAAATAATTGCTTGAATTTGAACAGACCATAAGAAATATATTCCAGTTAGCATTTAAGCATAAATATCATGCATGTCTACTTTTAAAGGGGCTACCTAGCAATGGTCTAAAGAGAAAAGCCCAGTTAAGGTAAGATGTCAAACAACTTGTTTGTTAAATACAGCTCTAACTACAGTATTTGTTGGTTTACCATGGTTTATGTAGTAAATGCTTTCTGCTAAAAATTGATACATTTAATTCTGTTCATTCATCCCACACTTCTCGAAACATCCTTCAGATTGCTAATCATCAGTAACTTCGCCAAACATGGACTTTCTTGATGGGCATACTGTCTTGTACCTGTCTTGTCTCTTATACACATCTAGATGTGTATAAGAGA